TATGTAATAACCCGCCTCCTTGTTCACTTCAATGCAATAACCCACTTGTCTCTTTAACTGGGTATAATAGACACACATTGAGTTTCCAATGTGCTGATGTTTCTCCCACAGATAGCCCGACCTCTCAATCCCAGCTTTCTGTCCATATATCCATCTGTCTGTCATTTCTTTGTTTCCTTTCTACCCTAGTCAGGTCCACACCTGGGAGCCATGCATAGACATGGCATTCATGATATTCAAGTGTGTTTAAAAATTGAAAATATGTCTATGTCTATGCTATTGAAAATAGTTGTCAAGCATGAAATAATAATACCAGTGAACACACACATACACTATTCATAGCAAGGTATATATTATATTCCTGATATTTAAAACATTTTTACCAATTTACATTTCCCATTCTTTTGAAGAGACAGGTTCATAGAGATAATTGCTTGTGATAGACAAACCCATGTCACCAATACATGCTGCCACCTTGTGAAGCTTTTCCAGAGGTGTCTGAGCAGGACAAAGGCAGTTTCTGCATGAGAGATATCTAGCTACATTTGGAAGAATAGGAACTGGGTAAATAATAAAATTAATCCAGCCCACAGGTCAGGGTTGTAAATACCAGTGGGACCTAGTGAGTTATATAAATGTGTAAAGAGGAGGGATGTGAGAAAGTGGGCAATGGTGGTGCATGCTCAGCCAGACTCTCTCTAGGAACAGTACTGACTGATTACTGTTTCTACATAGCTATGGGAAGGTCCCCTGCTGTGGGATGTTCTGTATGGCAAATGTGTTGCTCTGATTGGTTAGTAAATAAAACACTGATTAGCCAGTAGTCAGGCAGGAGGAAGTATAGGTGGGACAAGGAGGAGAAGAATTCTGGGAAGTAGAAGGCTGAGTCAGAGACAATGCCAGCTGCCACCATAACAAGCCGCGTGTGAAGATGCCAGTAAGCCACGAGCCACGGTATAGATTTATGGAAATGGGTTAATTTAAGATATAAGAACAGTTAGCAAGAAGCCTGCCACAGCCATACAGTTTGTAAGCAATATAAGTCTCTGTGTTTACTTGGTTGGGTCTGAGCGGCTGTGGGACTGGTGAATGAGAGAGATTTGTCCTGACTATGGGCCAGGCAGGGAAACTCTAGCTACAGTCCCCATGGTCAGACATTGTGATTTTTTTCAATAAAGTCTCCCAACAGGAGTTTTAATATGAAGGCACAACTTTGCAAGGTCACTTGTATCAGTTTTCTAGGCTTGCATAGAAAGTATATATCCCAGCTACCTTAAAGGAATCTGTTTCCCCATAGCTCTGAATGGCACCCATCTGGGATCCAGGTGTCCTAGGACTAGTTTCCTCTGTGACCTCTCTCCCTGTCTTGTAGCCCAGTGGCTTCTCTTTCATTTCTTGGATTTTCCCTTCTGTCTTTGCTCTAATTTTTCTTCATAGAAGAGACTGTCATATGAAGCACTTTATTATAACTCAATTGTTGGTTTAAAGACCTTATCTCCAAACACATTCACATTCCATAAACTGAGAATTCAAACTTTATGTGAATTTTGAGAGAGGAATGACACATAATTCAGTCTATAACACCAACACAGCCAGATAAAACTCTTGTCCAAGATGAGTCCAGGCATTGCTGGTCACACTATGAGTCAGTGGGTAAAGATGCCTTCAACCAAGACTGAAGCCTGACCTGGAAGGAGAGAATGAACTCCTGAAAAATCATCTACTGACCTCCACACCAGTGAATATGAGCTCACATGTGCACGCATGCATGTATATAAACACACACACACACACACATAAATCTTTAAAAAAATTTTTAAGCTGGCCAGTAGTGGCACATGCATTTAATCCCAGCACTCGGGAGGCAGAGGCAGACAGAGCTCTGTGAATTTGAGGCCAGCCTGGTATACAGAGTTCCAGGACAGGCCCCAAAGCTACACAGAGAGAGGCTGTCTCAAACAAACAAACAAATAAAATAAAAAAAAAACAATGTGAAAGGTGAAGCTCCAAGCCCTGGAGCTTCATGGAAGGGCCATTTTAAGGACAGAATGGATTATTTGATGAAAGACATTTCTAACCAGTAAAGCATTTAGAATACAGCCTGAGAATTAGAGCTTTGGGTCACATTCACAGTGAAGCTTGGCAGAAGAATGGGGTAGAGTAAAACCACCAGGAAACAGAAACTTATGACCTGCTCAGAGTGGGTAAAGAAGATGGAGCTGAACAATGGTGTCCATGTGAAGAGTTTCACATGGACAGAAGGGTGTGAACCAGGTGCTTTTGATAGTGGAGAAGCAGAGCTAAGAGCTTTCAGTGGCAGAGAACACAGAGCATGCAAACCGGGCCTATCACCTCTCCTACCACAGGCCCAGAGAGCTAGAAGATCTTCCATGGGACCTCAAAGCCCAGGCCACCAGCTAGCTTAACTTTCACGATGCAGCCTGAAGAGATGTGAAGAAACAACTCGACACCTTCCATGGGGCATCCATGGCAGACCACAGAGAGAGTTCCATCCATATCTTGCTTGGTAAATCAGGGAGTATTTTATTGGGGTTACAGAAACATGAGTGAGGGGTTACTAAAAGGATCATGGATCCTCAAAATGGCTGTACCACCAACAGGTCCCATACTGGAATGAATGATAACTAAAACTTCATCACTATATACCCTCCCTCAGTAGAGCTCCCACCCCTATATACTCTAGTGCCGACAAGACCATTGGAAGCTGAAGCAAGTGTAAGCAGTAGCTAGAATCTCAGGTGAGAGCCCACATTCTCCACTATTCCGTAAGGGAATATAAATTCTTGTCATTACTACAAACCCAGCGGACACTGTACTATTTTATATTACTACCATGACTATGAGGCCAAGGTATTCTTTGGGTCATCACAACAACCTCCACTCCATGACAGTAATAATCCTCATGCATAAAGGAAATGACAGCTCCCTAGAGTCAACTTGGAATTCTTGTTTTCCATTCAAGTGCTCCGTGACTGTAACTATAGTTAAAACTTGTCCCGACAATCTGGGTTTATGTTTGTTCGTGTGCTGTTGTTTCTACAACAGGGGCCATTGTGGTTTGCCTAAAAAAAAAAAAAAAATGTCAAAGGAAGCTGGTGACACCATGAAGATTCTTGTCACACTCAGATCATATATTAAGAACGTGCAATGGAAAATGCCCTAGAGGACTATAAAGAGAAGACGTGGTGGGGATTTCAGAAGAATAGAGTAACCAGCAGCATATCAATGTCTGCCTGGGAATAGGACAGGGAGCATGTAAAGCCAACCTACAAAAAATAGTCACATGACCTTTGACCACTGAGGATATAAAGGTGTGGTAACTGAGTCTCTGGGGGCATTTGTGTCATGGCAGTGTGCATACGATATTGGAATTAAAGCTTTAAGACTTAGTGTTGGATTTCAGTCTTGCTCTGGGATAATTACTCATTTCTATCTGCCCATCTCTTTCTTTGGGAATAGAAATTTCTTCCCTGGGTTGGTCCTGCACTGTATCCTGAAGTATTAAATTCAAAACAATAAATGCGCACAGATGAGTTTCCCTTGAATCGCAGAAGAAACTTTGGACTTGGACTTTGTATGATGCTTTGTGTGTCAAGGGATAGCCTGAAGGCATTGTGAATCATGAGGTTGACCTGAGCCTTCGAGACCAGAAGCAGAACGCTATAGTGTGGATGTGATGTGAGTGTATCCTACAAGGGTTCACGGGTTGGACACCAGAGCTTCAGGATGGAATGTGGGAATAGTGGCAAAATGGGGCAGTTGGTTGGGTCATTGGATGTGCACCCTGGGAAGAGGGGAAAGACATTTTCATAAGATTCCTCAGTTGGCTCTTACAAGGGGCTCACTCCCCAGACCCGACTTCCTGGCTGATAATGGCGTCTCTTACTCTCATGTGCACTTTTACTGTGACTGAGATATCAACAGAGCCAACTTAACATCGCTATCATGCTCTTTAACCTCCAGAACAGTAAACACAACTTTATTTAGCTCTGTTTCCTTGTTTAGTTTCTGTTGCTATGAAAAAAGACAATGTGTAAAAACATTTGGGGGAGGAAAAGATTTATTCGGCTGTCGAGGGAAGCCAAGGCAGGAACTCGGAAGTTCAGGGAGGAATGCTGCTTACTGGCTTGCCTCCCCTAACTTGCTCAGCCACTGCGATGGCTATTCTTGGTTGTCAACTTAACCACATCTAGAATGAGCTACAATCTAGAAGTGGAGGGCACACCTGTGAGAGATTATTTTTGCTTGGTGTGAAGTGGGTAAATCCACTTCTAGTCTAGACTTTTGAGGTAGGAATACTACATCTTTATTCCAGATCTTGAGGCAAGAAGACACACCTTTAATCTGGGCCACACCTTCTGCTGGAAAACTATGTAAGGACATGGAAGAAGAAAGCTTTTGCTCTTTGCCTGATTGCCCTCACCTTGCCAGCACGTCCATTCCTTCACTGGCACTGGAACCTACTTCTTTGGGATTCCAGCATCTACAGAAGACCAGCTGAGACATTTGGGCCTTTTGGGACTAAGCCAATACTGGATTTTTCGGCTTTCTGTTCACAGCCAGCCATTGTTGGATTAGCTGGACTACAGCCTGTTTGTAAGTCAGTCCAGTAAATCCCATATATAAAAATATATATAAAATACATATATAATAAACAAATGTATAATACACATATGTGTATATATGGGATTTATTGTAATTATATAACATATAATATATAAATATACAAATATATATAAATTACACAAATATATATTTAAAGGCTTTTTTTATAGTCCATATTATGTCTAGTGTCTCTCCCTGAATACTCTAAATTGACATGGTTTTTTAAAATTACACACCCAATGCTTAAAGAAATGCAACCACAAATTCAAAAGGCTTTGGGTACCAATATAAAACTTTAATCACACTTGATGTCAAAGGACTATGATTTTTAATTGAGGTGCCAGAGTGATTCAGGTAGCTGGAAGGTGGGTTGCTCCAAGTCATTAGACAATCGGGGAATTTTATGGTCTCTTGTTGTATCTAGACTCTGGGATTCTAACTGTGACAACCATTCTCTCCCAAAACAACTTTCATTTTTTAAAAACCTTGCAGGATTATGGTCCCTCATTTAGATTCCAGACTCTGTAGGAAGCTGAGCTCACCTTTTCGGATTTGTTTTTCCTGTTACAGTGAGCAAATGAATCAGGTTCTCCACAAAGGTAATGATGTGCAAATGTGCATCTTTAATACATGAAAGCTATCATTAAATACCCAGTGGTATGGCATTTTCAGGTTCCTCCACTCTGCTAGGAGAGGGTAGTGATTTTCACATTAGTTGTGGCATTTGTGATGGGGCTGTCTGACATTACATGCAGATGCGTCCTATTCGATACTATTATGGCAAGCGAGCAAGATGACTACAGTAATTGCTGGCATCCTCTCATAAAATGGAGCATCCTTCGGCTTTGTAAATGTGATGTTTTTATTTTATCACTTTGTTTATATACAGATTAAAACACGATCCCTCATGGCAACAGATGATAATTGAGCAGTGCCTTGAGCCGGCCACAGAGCACAGGAGTAACGCTTGCATGCCTTGGGAAGATTCAACACCTGAGGAATACATTTTCTCCTTACAGTCTTTCACCGTGGCTTTGGATTTGTTTTATACTGTTAAGACACATAGAAAAAGACATTTAAAAGACACTACTCAGCTACTACAGAAAAGAAAGCCTTTTCAGTATCATTGAAGGATTTAGTACATAATTAATTTCATTGGAATTTGCTTAGAGTTCTGTTGAAGATCAGCAGATTGAAAACGCAATATGTTTCTTTGTCTTTTTGATCCTTCTGAAGTCTCAGCTTAATTCACAAACGAGGAAAAGTGATTCTCTGGTACTTTGCATGCAAGTCACAATTTCCTTGCTGGGTTCCAGAAGATCCATGGTCTCCAAGCTCCAGCGCTCAGCTGCTGCTGCATATGTTTCTGCTGAAATGTAAAACTGGCTGAAATCATCATTCCCTGTGCTTTTAAGAGACTGTATTTAAAGCTCTACTTGAAGCATCTTGTTTCTTTAGGGAGCTTAAAATTATATTGAAAAACAGCAGAGCCAATGAAAGTGTGTGTGTGTGTGTGTGTGTGTGTGGTGTTCTGTTCGAAACTGAATGTTATGAACACTGCACAAAATTATTAGGAATAATCAGGACTCTTTCTCAGCTTAAGGTATTGCATTCACCTTGGTTTCTATATTGTAAAACATAAATGTAAATTAACACATACCCAAATAGAAAATAGAGACACTTTTCTATGGCTAGGTTGTAAAATATAAATATTTTGTATACACACCCAGAATTAGCACCACTTATTATTTTTAATGCAAAGTGAAAAGAATTTGAGGTAGAATGGAATTTGGTAATTAACCTGAGTGAGAGGCCCGTCCTTTGGTAGTCTTGTCCAGGAACTTTTCAAAATCAAAGGTCAAAGTCAAAATTTGAATTTCTAAGAGATTTTGCTTTTTATTTGTTTCTCCTTCAGGGCTGTGGATGGCATATGGGGAGGCAAGAACTCCACCAATGAACTACACTCCTCAGCTTGAAAACAATGGTTTGGGTTGCTTGCCCAGCATATCCGATTCATAGCTGTCATAATAATTCACAGATATCTCATATGTGAGACATCTTCATATAGATGGAAATGTTTCCAGCCTTGGGTTCCCACAGCCTTCCACTTTCTTGACACAAAGCAGCATGTTTTCCAAATCTCTGACAGAGAAAGATCTGTTTACACACAAATTTTGAAGTTAGATTGTTGTGGGAAACATCATTTTTCAAAATATAAGCCTTTGTTATATTCCTGAGCTAGGAAATTCAAAATACATATTAATGAAAAGTAGCCTAAGCAGTTAACTGATAGTCTGAAGGAAAAAAAAATGCATGTAAGTTTCCTGTTTTTGGAATTTTTTAAATAAATCTGGCTACCCAGGCAATGTTCTCAAATTGTCCAAGTATGTGACTCGTTGTTTTTACTTCCAACTTTGTTTTCCCATTGTGGATTTTTGGCTCATCAAACAAAAACAGGAACTGGGCCTAAATGAGAAGATGTTTTAAATATGAGTTTAACCGAATTATGATAACCACACTGAATTGCAAAGATGTTTGGTTTAGTTTAGAGAGGAAGATGTGGAGGAAATAAATTGCTTTTGAATATTTCAATGGCTTATAAGATGTTGAATCTGAATGCAAGGTATAGAGACTAAAGCTAGAATAGAATTCAGAAATTATAGAGTCTCCTTGGTCATGATCTGCATGTGGCAGATCTGTTCTTTGAGGCTTTGCCATATTCAAGTGATGCCCATAGATCGGGAGGCAGAAATGTTGATGTAGGTTTCTTTGAAGTTTTTCTTGGGAAAGTCAAGAGTGTATTCCACTTGAAGAATATATTTCTCTTTGCCTGCTTAGTAAATCCATGAAGATAGAAGAACTCTCCAGGATATCTATTGCTGATAAATTTGTATTTCCATTCACTCTGTTTAATAAATTATTTAAGATTTTTCTTAAAAAAATTAGACTTTTTTCTTTTATTAATTTATTTGTATGACTGTCTTGCCTTCATGTATGCATGGTACGCATGAGTACCCCAAGTGTGCCTAGTGCCCTTGGAGGTCAGAGCATCAAATATCCTGGGATTGGAGTTACAGATAGTTGTGCCCTGCTGTGTAGGTGCTGGGAATTGAACTCTGGTCCCCTGAAGAGCAACATGTGTTGAGACCACTCTTCACCTCTCCCATTAACTTTTTTTTTTTCTTAATTGAAAGGTTATAGAAAATGTTTTTAAAGTATCTTGTCATAAACTTCTTAGAAGCAAAGAAAGTACAACTTGACCCATAAACTTCTTGCAAATAAAATGTGCAGTGGTCACATCCCTTGCTACCACGTTGGGCCTAGACACTCATGTGGGCCATGAGTACTCTGTCCCAACCTTTTTTTTTTTTTTTTTTTTAAATCTATAGTTGATTCTTAGAGAATCCATCTTTCCTCATCAAGCCCAATAGACATTGACATGTTTTCAGTTCTTGGGTTACTAGGTTCAGCTCTTCTGGTAAGATGTGATAAATAGAAGTCCTTGAGGTTTTTTTTTTTTTTTTTTTTTTTTTTTTTTTTTTTTTTTCAATTTTCTTAAGTTTGAAGAAGCAGTATGAAAACTAGAAAAAAAATGCTCAGAATCCCAGGCATAGAAATGCCATGCTGTATGGAGCTGAATTTTATGTGGACTTTGTTCTCTTGGATGAAAATCACAGCTGGACATGGCTACACTGAGCATAAAAGGAAGTTCTAGATAGGAAGAATTATTTAGATCACTTAGCACATCTAATGATAGGTCATGGATAATATGTTTAATTACCCTCGATTGAGGTAGCAATAGAATTGTGCATGCGCATAAACCCCTTTACAAATCTGTCAACGTGAGAGGAAAAACATGTCTTAAGAAATGAAGTTGACAAACAGATTGCTTATTGTGACAAACAGATTGCTTATTGCCTTATTAGCATAAAGCAAAACAGGAAACTGGGTATTGTCCCAGGGAGTGTTGAAGAGAAAGGTGGGTACTTATAAACTCAGAAGTTACAGAACCCCCTAGACTTGACTCACCATCTCTGAGAAGCAAGAGACTAGAGACCAAGAGTAGCCTTGGACTGGTTACCCTTTACCTTTGGATAGCTGAAAAGAAATTGATTGCATGAAGAAAGATAGGAGAAACAGACGACTGTTTGCATATTACAATGAACCTAAATTTCCACATAAGGATATCTGGATGATGGAAAGAGCTAATGGCTTAAAGATGTTGAAGCCAGAGACATAGCTGTAGTCAGGCTTTTCTTTGGGCCATTAGCTCACAAAAAGTGACATGGAGACTTATATTAATTATGAAAGCTTGGCCTTACCTTAGGCTTGTTTCTAACTAGCTCTTATAACTTAAATGAACCCATTTCTATTAACTTACTTTCTGCCTCATGGCTTTATTACCTCATCTCCATAATGCTCATCCAGCTTGCTCTGTGTTTCCTGGTGTCTCCACCTTCTTCTTCTTCTTCTCAAGGTTCTCTCTGCCCAGAAATCCTGCCTAGCTATTGGCTGTTCAGCTTTTTATTAAACCACTCAGAGTGACACATCTTCACAGTGTACAAAAAGATTATTCCACAACACAGCCTCATCTCTATTCACGTCTGCATGTAGGGATTGGAAATGAACCATGAATTAAAGTTAACCACAATCCTGCTATTGGGAAATAAGCAAATGATATTATAAATTTATTTTCTATAACTAAACACATTAGACATACCTGAATATACTCTGTAAGCTGTAAGTATTTTTCATACACATGTAACTGTTTTGCTTTTTGGAAGTTTGTAAATAGGAGCTAGGACATTTTAGCATCAACATTGTCCTGAAGTACTAAAGATAATTTATCACTTGGAGGCTGCCTCCAAATTTAGTAATACCAAGTTGGAAGAAAAAGAACAGATGGGCGGAATACTCTTGCAAACTCAAATGTTTTAAATGATAGCAGTTTTCTATACCACCCTTGATTCAAATAGGATTTGAACACACAGACACAGACACACACACACACACACACACACACACACACACACACACAACTTCAGAGCTGTCTATCTCTGTATACTTAACACATCAAACCAATATGATCTAGCTTAGCATGTCTCACTCTCCTTATATTTCTTTTCAACTTGGCCACAACTTTCAGCCAAGTTGCTGTAAACGCTGATTATGATGATCACATAATGATCAGCAAATCAAATATCTTTTCTTACATTAAGGGAAAGAGAACTTGCTTTAAGTTCATACACATCACAATTAAGAGTGCTCCATTTGGACTTATGATAATGGTTGCAGACATTATGGTCTCCAATTGCTTAGTTTCAGAGGCTCCAAGCACAATGGTCATTGCAAGGAATGTCTTAGGACACGCACAAAAAGTGGAAAAAGCAAAACAAAACAAAACAAAAAACCCTGCCTTTATATGTGTGCCAATGAAAGTCTGGAAACACAAAGAACAGAGTGTGCCTCTCCAGTCTGTAGTAAGAAAGGCATCCAGAAGTTCACAAAGCTCAATTGTTTTTCCAAAATGTCTGATTAGGAAAATCAATTAACTCAGCATAATGGGCCCTACAGAGACATTGCTGCATTTCAGCGGAACAGAATGAGAAAATGTGAATAAATGCACCCTCCTCCCGGAAATGTGAAAGAGGCACAAAGTGGGGTGGGAGACCTAGGGAGACACAGAAGCCGAGGCAGAGAAGAAGATGAATGGGAGGATGTGGGGAAGGCTTCCAGAGGGGACTCTACCTGCTAAACCTCTGCTGCCAGTTTGAAAGGCCAGCAGCTACTTACCAGGATTCTGGTTTTCTGTATACAACTCCTGGAAAAATTCTCACTCTTGACTATTACCACATCTTAGGCTCCTGTTGTCCCAAGACTAGCTTAGGACATGACCTATCATTTGTTTAGAAACCTTGAAGGTGAACCCACACTGACACTTTTCTTCTTCAATTTGTTTTCATGCTAATGATGGCTGAAGGGACACACTGCTCAAATGAAACATGAACACACAGATTTTAGCATTTTCAAAAAAATCTAACTTCGTCCTTGTAACTATCATAAGATATCCAGAAACCTTTACTGATACCTTTGCCCTCAGACATGACTGCTCAAACTTTCTTTTCCTACAGCTCAGGACCTTGGCAAGGTGGTAGAGTGCTATGCCAAGTCCAGCGGATTGAGCAGAGAGAAGTGGCATGCACCATGCATTCATAGAACCTTCGAGAACCACAGTCTTCTCAGGGTTACGCACACTTCTGGGCATCACAATCCCCTGACTTTGCTTTTTTCCTCTTTGTGTTTTTTGTTTCTTTTTTTTTTTTATACTGGGGACAAAGTCCATGGCCTTGCATATCCTGGACAAGCACTCTGTCGCCGAGCTGTGTCTCCAGCCCTCCCTCAAAACTGTGACTCAATATGTCAGTGTCTTCTACTTTAAGGTGTCAAGGTCAGTAAAGCGTTTTCTCACTGTGATAGGTCTAAATAGCCTAAAACAGAAACTACACACTGAATAGTGCTTAAATTATAGTACCAGCCTTGAGACACACTGCATGGGCAGCTTATTTGATCTGCTTCTCACTCTGTTTGTGTTAGTCTTCTCCCACTGTGCTAAAATACCAGAGATGATCAGCTGGAGAGGATTCTGGCTCCTGGATTCAAAGGTTTTAGTTCCTGGTCTCTTGGTCCTGTTTGCCTATGAAGTATGACATCATGGTGTAAGGACATAGTGGTGTAAGTCTACTTACCTCATAATACTCAAGAAGTTGAAAGAGAGAGAGAGAGAGAGAGAGAGAGAGAGAGAGAGAGAGAGAGAAATAGAGAGAGAAGAATAGAGAGACAGAAAGATATATAGAGAAAAATTACATATATAGAAACAGAGAGAGATACACACAGAGAAAAAGAGAGTCAGAAAGAGAAAGACACAGAGAGAAATAGAGAAAATCAGAGAGATAAATAAAGAGAGGGAGGGAGGGAGAAAGAAAGGAACCAGGGTAATAATATCACCTTCAAGGATGTGTTCCCAGTGACCTAACTTCTTTTTACTAGGACTCAACTCCTGAGTCAACTCCTGAATGATTCAACCCCTCCCAATAGTGCCACAGCCTGGGCACAAAGCCTTCGACACTTGGGCATCTAGAGAACACTCAAGATCTAAACACAGAAGTATTGGTCAGTTTTTATCGCTATAATAAAGCATCTTGGTTGTTCTGGTTAGCTTTTATGACCTTGACACAAACCTAGTGTCTTTGTTACTTTTCTATTGCTGTGATAAAACACCATAGCTAGGGCAACTTTCAGAAGAAAGGGTTTGTTTGGCTTATGGTTCCACAGGAATAATAGTCCACGATGATAGAGTAGAGGTAGCAGGAGGCAGGTGGATGGAGCAGCAGCTGAGAGCTCACATGCTGTGGGATGGTCTGTATGTCAAATTGCTCTGATTGGTCAATAAATAAAACACTGATTGGCCAGTGGCCAGGCAGGAAGTAGATGGGACAAGGAGAGAGGAGAATTCTGGGAAGTGGAAGGCTGAGACGGAGAGACACTGCCAGACGCCGCCATGACCAGCAGCATGTGAAGACACCGGTAAGCCACCAGCCATGTGGCAAGGTATAGATTTATGGAAATGGATTAATTTAAGCTATAAGAACAGTTAGCAAGAAGCCTGCCATGGCCATATAGTTTGTAAGCAATATAAGTCTCTGTGTTTACTTGGTTGGGTCTGAGCGGCTGTGGGACTAGCGGGTGACAGAGATTTGTCCTGACTGTGGGCAAAGCAGGAAAACTCTAGCTACACTCACATCTTGAACCACAAACAGGAAACACAGAGGAGACATTAGAAATGGCATGAGTCTTTAAGCTATCAAAACCCAGCTCCACTGACATACTTCTAGTGAGATCCTGCCTCCCTCACCTCCCTCCCTGTGACCGTTTGAAGGAGAATGTCCCCCATAGGTTCATACATTTGACGACTTAGTCCCCAGTTTGTGAAACTGCTTGGGAAGGATTAGGAGCTGCTACCTTGTTGGAGGAGGTGTGTCACTGAGGGCTTGATATGAGGTTTCAAAATCCCATACTATTGTATGATATTTTATTTCTGTTCTGACAAATAAAGCTTGCCTGGAAATCAGAGGGTGAAGCTTGCCACTAGTTAACCATAGAGGCTAGGTAGTGGTGGTGCACACTTTTAATCTCAGCACCTGGGAAGCTCATGTCTTTGATCCCAGCATTTGGAAGGCTCACGCTTTTGATCCCAGTACTTAGGAGGCAAATGGCTTTAACCTCAGCCCTCGGGAGGTGGAGATAGGAATATAATGCAGGTGGAGAAAAAATTTCCCTCCCCATTAGTCTGAGATTTCATAGAGTTAAGAAGTCTCTGGTGGCTGGCTGCTCTGCTTCTCTGATCTTTCAGCTTTCATGAGTAATATTTGACTCTGAGTTTTTATTGTTAAGACTAATAAGGATCGAAATTCAACCATACCATTCCAGTTATCTCTCTGCCTCATAGTTGTGTCTCAGAATGTAAGCCCTCAGCTATTGCTTAGCATCATGCTTGTCTGCCTAATGTCATGGTCCCTATCATGATGATCATAGACTCTGATGCCCTGAAACTGTAAGCCACAAATAAACTCTTCTACAGGCTGCCTTGGTCACAGCATCTCAACACAGCAACAGAAAAGTAACTAAGATACTGCCCAAATAGAGCCACCAAGTGGGGACCAACTATTCAAATATCTGACCCTAGAGGGGGCTATTCTTATTCACACTACCATATCTAGAGTTACCTAGGAGGAAGAAATCTCAGCTGAGAAATTGCCTCCATCAGATTGGTTTGTGGGCATGTTTGTGAGGGCAATTTTTTTTTTTACTACTAATTACCACAGAAAACCCCAGCCCACTATGGGAAATATCGTCCTTAGGTAGGTAGCCCTGGGTTCTTTAAGAATGGTAGCTATCAAAAGACACAGTCAATAAGACAAAAAGACAGCCAACAGAATGGGAAAAGATCTTCACCAACCCCACATCTGACAGAGGATTGATCCCCACAGTATATAAAGAACTCAAAAAACTAGACATCAAAATACTGAACAGTCCAATTGAAAAATGGGCTAAAGAGCTAAACAGAGAATTCACAAAACAAGAATCCCAAATGGCTGAAAGACATTTAAAGAAATGCTCAACATCCTTAATCATCAGACAAATGCAAATCAGAACGACTCTGAGATACCACCTTACACCTGTCAGAATGGCTAAGATCAAAAACACCAATGACAATCAATGTTGGAGAGGATGTGGAGCAAAGGGAACATTCCTCCACTGTTGGTGGGAATGTAAGCTTGTACAACCACTGTGGAAATCAGTATG